ATGAATATATGGAGAACTATGTACGAGTTTATATGTTTCTGTATTTTCGTGTTTCCTTATCGCGTCTTCGTGCATTCCAGTTGCTGATTATCTACCCCTATATATATATATATATATATATATATATATATATATATATATATATATATATATATATATATATATATATATATATTCTTTTTTTCAGGTACATTTACATGAATCTCTCTCTCTCTCTCTCTCTCTCTCTCTCTCTCTCTCTCTCTCTCTCTCTCTCTCTCTCTCTCTCTCTCTCTCTCTCTCTCCCTCCCTCTCTCCCTCCTCCCTCTCTCCCTCCTCCCTCCCCTCCTCCTCCTCCCCCTCCCTCCCTCCCCTCCTTCCTTCCCTTCCTTCCTTCCTTCCTTCCTTCCTTCCTTCCTCCTTCCTCCCTCCTCCCCTCCCTCCCTCCCTCCCTCCTCCCTCCCTCCCTCCCTCCCTCCCTCCCTCCCCCTCCTCTCCCTCTCCCTCTCCCTCCCCCTCCCCTCCCTCCCCCTCCCCCTCCCCCTCCCTCCCTACCTTCCTACCTTCCTTTCTCTCCTACTACTACTACTACTATTACTATTACTGTTACTACTACTATTACTACTACTACCACTACCACTACTACTACTCTCTGCATCTATTTAAAGTTATCTTCTTGCGTATGTGGTTATCATTAGTACTGTCATTACTACTATTGTTGTCTCGTTTTGACGTCAATATTATTGTCGTTAGCATTACTGCCATTACTTCCGCCAAGGAGGTTATTTTTCTGGTAGAGTTGTTTAGTTTGCTGGTTTGCAGGATAACTCAAAAAGTTATGAACAGATAATATGTGACTTAGTCTATCTTAGATGCCATGAAATGGTGATAATCCGGAATTTTTATTATTATTATTATTATTATTATTTTTGCATCAGTTACCCCTGTGTCCAAGGCGATAGGGGTAACTATTATTTTTATCATTACATTTATCACCTACGCCAAGGAGGTTATTTTTACGGACGGTACCAGTGTGCTTGAGAAAGAGGTGATTTTAATGTAATTATTTCAATTGTGAATATTTCCATTGCATCAGTGACCCTGTTGCCTTGGCGGAGGTATGCGCTCTCTGCGTGCTTCTAGATATTGTCGTTATTGTTATTGTTATTTCTGTTATTATGTTATTATCATTAGCATTTTCACTGTTATTTTCATCATTGTTGTTGTCATTGTTATTATTATTTTACTGCTTCTATTATCATTATTGTTATCACTATTATTATTATTATGATCATCATAATTATCATTATCATCTCTATTATTATCAATATCATTATCTATGTTATTAGTATTATCATTACCATTTTCATTATTAGTATTATCATCACTATCATTTTTATCACCATCATTATTATCATCATTACTATCATTATCACTATTATTGTTGTTGTTATTAGTATTATGAGCAGAAGCAGCATCTTATTTCTTTTGTTTTTACTATCATTATTTGTATTATTATTATTTATATTATTCTTATTTCTATCATTATCATCGAAACTATTGCTGTTATTATCGTTATTATTGTTATTGTAATTATTATTATTATTGTTATGATTATTATTATTTTCATTATTATTAGCATTATTATCTTTATCAATTATATTATCATCATTATTACTATGATGAAAATTATCATCATAATAATTGTAATAATAGTGACGATTGTTTTATCCTCATTATGATCATTACCATTACTATCATTTTTGTCATTATTCTTATTATTCTTATTATTATTATTATTATTATTATTATTATTATTATTATTATTATTATTATTATTATTATTATTATTATTATTATTATTATTATTATCATTATTATTATCATCGTCATTACTACGATCATCACTGTTACCATAATCATTTGCATGTTTATTATGATTATTTTCACTCTTGATATTGATTATTGATTATTTTCATTATTACAGTTATCATCATTTTGTATTGTTACTATATTTTTTTATTGTTACTACTATTACTACTGTCTTACTATCCGTATTATCATTGTTATTATTACTTTTATTATCATTTTTATCATTATCATTATTCTTTTTATTACTATCATCATCATTATTATCATTATTTCCGTCATTAGTGCTTAGTTGTTATTGTTATGAGTATCACTATTATCATTATTATTATTATCATCACCATCATCATCATCATCATTACTACTATCATTAACTGTCATTGTTATTATTATCATTATTGCCATTATTATAATTCTCATTGTTATTTTTTTTATCATTTTTATTATTCACATGTTATTGTCATCATTTTTATTGCAGCAACTGCTACTACTGTTTTTATTATCATTATTGTTTTTACCTTTATTGTTATTATCTAATTATCATTATCTAATTTTGTTATTATCATCTTTATTATTATCATTATCATTTCCATTGTTTATTTTTGTTTTGTTGTTATTGTTATTTTTTATTATGATGATGATAATGGTGATGATGATGATGATGATTGTTATTATTGTAATTATTATCACCATTAACATTAAATTTATTTCTATTATTATCGATATTGTTATCATTATAGTAATTATTATTTTGTTATTGTTATTATCATTATCATTATGTTCATTCATTATTATTATTTTCCTTGGTTTTATTGCTACTACAAGTGCAACTGCTATTATAATCATTATCATTATCGTTGTTGTTTTGACTTTTATTGTTGTTATTTTCAAAATAATAATCATCAGTATCATTATCATTATTATTATTATTATTATTGTTAATGTTGTTGTTATTACTTTTATTGTTAATATTATTATTGTCTTTATTATTATTATTGTTATCATTCTTGATACTATCATTATCATTATCACTATTAACATTATTATCATTATCATTATTAAAATCAGTATTAATACTATCATTGTTGTTATTATTATCATCATTAATATTATTATCATTACAGATATTGCTTCTTGTCATTACTGTTATTACCATTATAAATATTACTTATTATTGTCATTACTGTTATTATCATTATTATTGTTATCATGTCATTATCATTATTATTGTTATTATTATTGTTGTTGTAGTTACTACTATCATTACTTTTATCATCATAATGATTGTCATTATATCTATCATCATTATTGTTATTACAATATTTTTCATGGTCATTAATATTTTTCCATTACCATTGTTTTAGTAGTAGTAGTAGTAGTAATAGTATTATCATTAGTATTATTATTGTTATTGTTGTTGTTAGTAGTAGTAGTAGTAGTAGTAGTAGTAGTATTGTTATTTCTATTATTATTATTATTATTATTATTATTATTATTATTATTATTATTATTATTATGATTAAAAATATCATTGTTATTATTATCATTATCATTATAATCATTATCATCATTATTAGTATTATCATTATTATAATTACTATATTCATTATTTTCACTATTATTATTATCATCATGATCATTATCATTGCTATTATTATTATCATCATCAATTCCATTGTTATTTTTTTTTTATTATCAACATAGTTATCATCGTTATTGTTTTTGTCATTATAATCATTATCATCATTACTATTATTATCATCAAAATCATTATTATTATTATTATTATTATTATTGTTGTTATTGTTATTATTATTATCATTATCATCATTATCATTATTATTATTATTATTATTATTATTATTATTATTATTATTATTATTATTATTATTATTATTATTATTAATAATAATATCATCATTATTATCATCATTATGATCATTATTTTAATTATCATTAACATTATCGTTATCATTATCATTATTATTATCATCATTATTATTCTTGTTACCATTACCATTATCATTTCTTATCATTAATATTATCATTATTATTGATATTATTATTATTATTATTATTATTATTATTATTATTATTATTATTATTATTATTATTATTATTATTATTATTATTATTATTATTATTATTATATTTTATTATTATTATCATCACTGTTATCATTACTATTTTATTATTATCATCACTATTATTATCATTACTATTGTTGTTGTTATTTTCATTATCATCATCATTATTATCAGTGTTGTTACTGATGTTAATGACATGATCATCATAATTCGTGTTGTTTTCACATTCTAGATATAAATGTTTAAGTTATCCTGATGAATTACGCAAACTTTCGTGCTGTCTGTTATCATTATTTATCGCTGTTATTATCATTTCTAATCTAAATCCCCCTGGGGCCATCTTTATTGTGAATTCAGCTTTATCACATACAAATTCTCATTCACTATGTACGGTCATCATCTTGTCATATAAAACAAATTTTATCAATATCATCTTTATCAATATTCCTTATTTTTTTACGATTCACTTTACGCTACTATCGTCATCAGTCACTTTACGTAATATTAATTTTATTGTCGAATATGTGTTTTCCTTCGATCCGTAAGTTGTTAATGAAAATGCAATAACATCCATAACAGCTCATGAAATCTGTGTAAATCTTTAAATCAAACTAAAATTAATTATTGAAGAATTCAAGAAATGAGTTTAAACGAAAAGGAAGAAGGAATCGCCATCAGCTGACTTTTGACACGTCAGAGATTTTTTTTTTTTTTTTTTTTTTTTTAGTTCTCTCCTTGTCACTTCTTTCGCCGATTTCTTCGTCTAGTTGTCACATTTGAAAATCATTTTGATTATTTATTGTTTAAATTCATTTTCATCTTCATTCCTCGTCTCTCATACCACTTATTCTACTTTATTTTTCGCATTATCTGTACGCATAGTATCCGTGACGACGCTCTGATGCTATGAATTTCATTATGTCTTTGAATTACTAGTATTCTGTTCACATCAGGATAATCAGTATCACTTTACGACCTATTTAATCTCTGAATTATCATCATCATCTCCTTATCGTCACTATCACTTCTTCCTATTATCGCCGTGTGTTCGTTCGTGCGTGAGCGACTTTCCCTGTTGTTTGTTTACCATGTCAGCTGGCGAGAGGATAGCATGCTGGCTAAGATCCTGTTCCTTCTCGCCTCTGTAGCGCCTTTCCTCGTGCTCCTGCAGGGTTCCTGGGCCAGCGAGAAGGCCTTTAACATCTTCCGGTATCCTCCTAATAACCTGGACAGGAAATATGGCCGGGTTTCCGAGCACGAGAGGAGAGAGTTGGCCAATGCTACGAGGGCCATGTTCTACTTCGGCTACGAGAACTACATGAAGCACGCATACCCTAAGGACGAGCTCAACCCCATCTACTGCAGCGGGAGGGGGCCCGACTGGGAGAATCCGTGAGTCTGAGAATGGATTATGCGTATTAGGGGTTCATTCGGAGGACGGGAAGTCAAGCTAGGCAAATCCCCCTGCTCGAAGGAGGTCCAGCCGAAGTCCTGAGGTGAGGAGCTCAATCCTATTTACTATAATGGGAAGGGACCAGTCTGGAGGCCTACTTCTTAGTGTGGACAAGATCCTGACAAGGTGATATTGTAGAAAATGTGCATAGTGCAGATATTAACAAATTTGACATCAAGAGACCATTTATGATGTCTGCAGTCCAGATATAGTAGTTTTAGATTGTGCAAACCTATCTTAACTCCAATACCTCATGGGGGCATGAAAGAAGCCAGGGGACATGTGGCAAAGATCTTTACTTCACAAATAACATTGATTTGTCCTTTTACTCTTAATGATAATAAACATTGTTAATATCTTACAAGTAAAGACTGGCATGTGATTTCTAGGGTTCCTAGGAAGGTCTAAAATTTATGTCTTTCCAGAATACACATGTCAGGATTTGCTGGCCTTTCACCAGAACCTCAAGAAGCTATTGCTTGACCACACCAATTCCACCAACACCATCTTTCCAGTAGGTTTCCATAAGCAAGAACTACTATATCTGGACATTATACAGGAAGTGTAATCATTCAATACTAGATTTGGTAATTCTTTACTGTATGGACACACTCGACAGAGACTAAGTCCCCAACTTCATGGCAAAAAAGTTAGTAATCAGTCTTAAGGTGCCATGACTAGGTGTGCCCAACCGCCCGAGGGGAGGGTTGATGGGGGGCTCTGGGCCCCAACACCCCCTGGGAAACATTGTCTTCAACACAGTAGCAAGATAGAGCAGAAACTCAGGCTGAGAGCATCACTTTCTGCAATTTTTTCCCTTTATTTGTTACATTACCATTTATGTCTGCAGATTATTTCTTTTACTGACTACTGCAACCTTGTGTCCTTTACAAGAATATTGTATTCAATTTGCCTAACTTTGCCCATCCATACTGTAAAGATTAACCACAGATTCATTAGTGTCAGTTTTTTTTATATAAGGCCAAGACCTAAACGTAAGAAGAAAATATCATTTCCGGATGATAATTATTGCATATTCAAGATTCCTAACCTAGTCGAATCAAGGGTGGTAACATCTCATGTTGACACCGTCATATTGTTTGTGGGCTGAAGTACAATTTCACTATGCTTGTGCAGGACATAGTTGTATGAATAACTATCACCTATCAGATAGATGGTTGCCATATCAACAATCAGTGCATTTATATGAAACTATAGTTATAAAGATTCATCATAATTACAGTAGAGTCCTCTTGGAAAAACAGTGCCTCATGGGTTAAAATTCACAAGTTCAGAATGCTAAATATTACTGAGTACTGACCAACCAGTAGCCTCTTTCAGAGTATGATTTTTTCTTTGAATTGTCTTCACCTCAGTATGCACAGCAATACAGAGCTGAAACTCATGAACATTGAGTAAACTTTGGCTGTGAGTGGCACCCTCCGTAATCTTTTTCCTTTATTTGTGGCAATGCCATTATTTCTTGTACCTTTAACTGCAATATTTTTCTTTTCTTTGCCCTGGCTTAGTGCATCATTAGTGTAAAGATTATCCTATATTTATATATATTTATTTAAGGAAAAAGGAGGATAGTTATTAAGGATCTAAAGTAAAAATTAGCTATCCTTGTATATTTTACTTTAAGTTTTTATATAAATCATATAATGTCATATGTATTTATCTGTGGGGCCACAAGATAAAATTAAGCTTTTCTTATATATTGCAGAAGGATGGTGCACAAATGCAATAACCTGTCAGTTCAGATTAGGTTCATATATATTTACTCTATATATAAGTATGCCTTTCAGGGGTGAAGCCCTATGGTGAGCTAAAGTCCTTAGCTAAGGTAGAATTAAGCTGTAACCTGTATACTACAGTAAGCCTAGCTTACTTTGCTTACTTACTTACCTAACTGAGAATTAAGACAGGATTGATAGTTTATATATATGTTTATTGTATGTAGTATGTAGTAGGGGAGTCAGAGAAATTTTGGAGGAGAACAAGTTAAACCCTGTATGCTACAGTAAAAGTTTTATATTCTTATAAAAATGAATAAATGGTAATTTTTTATAGCTAGATGCACTCGCTAGAGACAAAGTCCCCACCTAGAAGTTACAAACTTTATTCAACAATCTAAATTGCTGTGACTGGGGGTGCCCTTCATGCACTGCCCATGGGGGGTTTTGCCTCCGACATCCTCCAGGAAACATTGTTTTCACCTTGGTGTGAACTGCACAATAGAGCTGAACTCAGGAACACTGAGTAGATTTAGGCTGTGAGCATTCCTTTCTGCAATCTTTTCCCTTTATATGTGGTTACCATCTATGTCTCCAGATGATTTCTTGTACCATTGACTATAACTCTTTGTGTTCTGCAAGAATATCATCTTCAATTTGTCCTACCATATTGCATCCATACCTTAAAGATTAAATAAAGAGATGAGTAGTCAGTGGTTCTTTTATAATGTTCTTATATTTTATACTTATTATTAAATAGGGCTGATATTTCTGATATTTTTCTTCTTTGCCTTATTGTTGGGAAATCATTAATGTACTTGATGTCCTAAACCAGCCACAAAAGAGAGTACCTCCCTCTAAAGGCCACATCAGCAAATGCATGATTCATATATATGTTTCATGCCTAAATTTCAAACAGAGCACAGCCCTTATTTATTGCTGTCAGGAAAATGTAGTGTTCGCTGTAGTATTGTTCTATGAAATGTCTTTACACATAGATGGCTCCACCAGTGCTCAGCCACCCAGGAGTCAATTAGTAGATCTTGTAACCTGACCCGACTTCACCTTTTCTTGAGTTTTCATGAAAAATATTTCATACTAATGCTAACTTTATCAGTGCTGTTATTAACATTATAAATGTTATAATTATCGTCATGTTACCAACATTACTAATAACAAAATAAGATTAAAAAAATATATATATTTCCAAAGATAAGGAAAAGGATAAAGAGGAGACAGATAAGACTAGTAATTGATGCATTAGTGATTAAGCACTAGTGGAGCCATCTATGTGTAGAGACAATAAACCATATTCACAGTGGGCATGGCAGGTCCGCATGTGATATCCCTACATGCA